AAGAGAAGAGAAGAGAAGATTTCTCTTGGAAAGAACCTATAAGAGTCATGAAGTCCAACTGCATGACCAGTTCAGGTTTCACCAAAATAAGGGTTCAGATGCCCTTAAACATTGACAGGCTTGTGGCAATGATGAGTTCTTTAGGAAGCCTGTTCTGGTGTTTGATCCTCTTGCTTCCTAACATGCAGTTTAAAACTCTTTAGCACAGCTTTATTGAAAAAAAAATAATTAAAAGGAACCAAACTATGGGCCCACTCTGATCTGGTTTTCTATCTTTAACTATATTAATAATGTATTTTGTTATTTATTGTGTTCTCGTTATTAATGCATTTTCTTCTGCCTAGTTTGGCCTAGCTCTTTCCAACTTGAAAATAACTTCACTTATCCACATCAGCTAAAGATTGTACTCTGAGAATAAATGTTCCTTATGAATTTTGGAATTAGTCATCAAAAAACATTACGGATGACTGTGCCATCATCACAGCTGATATGCAGTTGTTACTAAGCACTCCATTATTCTTTCAGAAAAGAGACCACTGCATTTCTGAAGAGTGCCTGGCCTGTGTGAGCCAATTTCTCCAGTAAGTGATGCTCTGGCCTGTGTTTGAAGCAGATCAGACACGATGCAAGAGCATTCCATTTGTAAAGGTCTGCCCAGCTGAATCTGCCAGGGCTATGGACCCCACCCAGGGATTTGCAGGCAAGGATTTGCTGTCATCTCTCCTCCTGCCATCTATGGTTATACTCCAGGTAGCTGCATTCTTTGCCCTCTTATCAGTAGTGGATTTCAGTTCTGAAAGCAAAATGAACTGCCCTGAACAAACCCACAAAACCTCTCTTCTAAATGTGAAGCATGGCTTGAGGTATCTTTTCACACCACATTCTTGGTGTTCTGTGTGGCTGCACATTTCCTACACAGATAGGAACTGCATCTTCCTTCTGCCTGCCTGCAGAACAAGAGCTTGGTAATGTTCTAGCACACTCGAGTGTTCTTCCTCCCAGTCCCACCTCTTGTTCTGATTGACACAGGCACCATCATGCTGTTATCACACTGAATTAGAGGCCAAACCAGAGCTTCTCCAGCTTCCTGCAGTGATAATCTCCTCCTGACCATGTAGGCAGAGGAAAATGCTCATAAGCCTCTCTAAGTTTTTGTGTACTTGCAAGAAAATGAATGGGAAGTTTTGGTAACAGAAGTCAGCAACTATGCCAGGCATCCAAGTGCAGATCTGACAGGCTGGGTGTGGTGGTTTGACCAGGAAGAAGTGGGAATTCTGGGA